CTATATTTATTTTTATACCCGTCATGCATTGTTTTCCTATCATATTACCAAGGTTGCCCCAACAAAATATGCCCAGCATGCATAGATATAACATCACATAACACCTCATCATGATAATTCCCAATGGAAAAATTAATCAACACCCTTTTTGTCACCTTAACCTCTTGTAACCTATACGGTCCAGGATGTTTTAATAGTGTTAATCCCAATTTTTCCACTGCATTAGTGCTAGCTACGTTTGTACAACTTCCACCATCAATTATTGCACTGCATACCTTCCCGTTGACGTGACATCGTGTGTGGAACATATTTTCCTGCTTCTGCTCCAAGTCATCCTCCCTGATTTGAGCGCTAAGTGCTCACCTCATGACCAACAACTCCCCAACTACGTGATCCATGGTGTTTTCCTTGTCAATGTCCTCCAACTCCAGCATGTCTTCATAATGACCTTTACTCTTGGTCTCCACTTCCTCGTTGTCTCACAAAATCATGGTTCTTTTATTTGGACATTGTGAAGCAATGTGTCCAACTCCCAAGCAATGAAAACACTTGACGTCTTAATTCCTTGATGACTAGGATTCTACCTTTGGTATAGTCTTGCTAGCTCCTTCATCCTTTCCTCTCGATACCTCTGGTCTTGGTCTTACTCTTGCATCAGCTCCATCTTCTTTATTATTTTCCCACCTTGGCTTCTAAGAAGGATTAGAAATCGAAGATCCACCTTGATACCTTACTATCCCCTTTTGCTTCAATTACTTAACCACCTTCATGGCCACATGTAGCATGTCTTCAATCTCCACATAATGTTACAATTCCACTACATTGGCAATGTCCTTATTCAATCCCCTCAAAAACTGAGCCATAGTGGCTTCCCTATCCTCTTCCACGTTCGTCCTAATCATAAGCATCTCCATCTCCTTATGGTAATCCTCTATGCTCTAGTGTCTTGATATAGATTTTGTAACCATTGATGAAGCTCCGGGTAATAGTGATTAGGTACAAGCCGTTTCCGCATTAACAACTTCAACTCCTCCCAAGTATTTATAGGTTGTGCCCCAATCCTCCGCCTCGTCGTCACCACTTGATCCCACCAAGTTATTGCATGGTCAGAGAACTCAAAAACCATAATTTTCACCTTTTTCTCCCCTGAGTAATTGTGGCAGTCGAATATCAACTCAAACCTTCTTCTCCCACTCTAAGTATGCCTCCAGATCACTCCTCCCTTTGAAAGAATGAATGGTCATTTTAATATTTCCAAAATTACCATCCAACTCATCTCCACCAATATTCCTACCTCTCACACCTTGCCTAATGCCTCTATTCCTTACCCTTCCAACCTCTGCATCCACAACTGCATTCTTATCGAATCCAGTATCAGCCTCAAAGTCATCCTGATCATCTATCCTAACTTTTCGCCTTCCATTCCGTCGTGCATTATTAGCTCCCCGTCTAAGATTAGCAGGCATTGGATTAAGCCTATCTAACCGCACATCCTGTCGATCCAACCGATCCCTCACGTCCCCCATCATCCTTCCCATCCGTAGTATCAATTTTACCATCATGTTAAGTTGATCATTGTCCCTGCCAGAATGTGTTCCATTCATGTCAAACATCCTATAATCAAACTTTTTCTGCCTCACCAGGTTCACTCAAGATTCACTCAGTTTGGCTATTACCGTCAAATGATCTTACCACTTTGCCTTTTACCGCTCGTTGCTTTCACTACGTGCTTAAAAATCAAATTGGAACTCAACAAAAGAATTAGTCTTGTGAAACCCAAACCGGATGTGAGTGAGATTACAAAACAAAGAAGGACTCGAATTTGGAAGTTTTGAAATTCAAGAAAGTTGTTCTTGAATTGATTTGGATTAAGAAAGACAATTTAAGAAAACAAGGGACTAATTTGGAAATAAATTACAAAAAAATTGAACAGTAGATGTGAGCGGTACTTTTTTCGACTTTTTTTTTTACTTTTTTTTCTTTTTTCTGCTACTGTACAATGAATAGTACGATTTTTTTTGGGTCCTGACCTTTAACTACGACACCAACATAAGAAACGGAAGTTGTTTTAGATTCTAAATGAGCGCAAAAACAACTTTTGAAGTTTTAGACAAAAAGAATTCGAATCAAGCACTCAAGAATTTTACTGGACAGAAGAACATGAAGAACGAAGAAAAACTAGAAACAAAGACTCGATAAGAATTTAAAAGGGATATAACCTTGAATTAGAGCCTAAGCTCTAATACCAACTGATGTGAACTCGCGTAGCGTGATCACTACCAAACCCACAACAAATTGAGAATCAAACCTAAGAAAGCCAAAGACAATATTTTGGATTAAACCCAATAAACTGGAACCAAGCACCTGAATCGCCAACAATATGCGGACCTCTTGATTACACAATTTAAATGAATCTCACCTGGTTGATTTGAATGCCACAAGATTAATCTTGATAAGTTCACAAGTTGTTCAACGAAGAACGAGAGAAAGCAATTAATACCTCACGAATAATATTCAATAATATCAGAGTTGTAATGTTTTACAATAAGGAATAAAGTATTTATACTATCCTAGATATCCTATGTAAACTAGGAAAAAATCTAAGAATAATGCAAAATTCGTTCACAATAGCCTAATTATGGTAAAGAACTACTAATAATGAAATTCTATTAAAATAAGGAAAAAGACGCAAAATTTGGAAAAATCGCCTCGGACTTGGCCTATGCGGCCGCATAGCTTTAGAGCATGTGGTCGCATAGTGCAATTGGTCTACGACTTTGGGACTTCTGCTGGGTGTATGCGACCGCAGGACTTTAGACCTGTGCGACAGCATGGTTTAATGCTCTAGCTCCATTTTCTTCAGCTTTAAACACGTTGATCCAATACTCTTCGACCTTTGTACCCAACACGAAACTTGCTCCATTTTGCATCCTGAACTTTGTTTCATCAACCATTGCTTTGACGATCAATCCCATTGCATTTTTCAGGTGCTTGGCCCTCGATCGCGCCATCGGCCCCTCGACTATCAACGGATCTTTCCTTGGGCTCGGCTCTGGACTTGACTTTAGTACTTATGCTTCCTTGATCACATCACATTTCTAGGCAATTTTTAGGACAGGATGTGTAGGCCATGTTCCTGCACGTCCTGGCTGCGGTAAGGATGCAACCTGATTTTTAGGCATTTCTAGGCAGTTTGTGGGCATAGTGTGCAGGCCATGTTCGGGATTTTCAAGTGTATCTAGGTAGTTTATGGGCATGGTGTGTAGGCAATGTTTGGGATGTTTCTCGACCATGTTAGAGATGCAAGCAGATTTTCAACCGAACCAAGGAAGCACGATGTGCAGGACATGTTAGGGACGCAGGCACGTTCCCAAGCATTATGGGCAGTTTTTAGGACATGGTATGCAGGCCACATTCGGGATAAGTCATGGTCATGGCAGGGATGCAGCTTGATTTTCAGGCTTTTTTTTACAGTTTCTGAACACTATGTATAGGCCATGTCAGGGACGCAACCTGCCCGCAGCAAGGACGCTACCCAATTTTTAGGCATTTCTAGACAGTTTCTGGGTCACGGTGTACATGCCAGGTCCAGGACACGTCTGAGCCACGGTAGGGATGGAGCCTGATTTTCAGGCATTTCAGGGCGATTTTTGGGCATGGTGTGTAGGCCATGTCCGGGATGCGTCCTGAATGCAATAGGAATCCAACCTAATTTTCAGGCATTTCTAGGCAGTTTTTGGGACACGGTGTGAAGGCAATGTCCAAGATACGGCAAGGACACAACCTAATTTTCATATATTTCTAGGCAGTTTCTAGGAAGCGATGTGCAGGCCATGTTCGGGACGTGCCTGGACCGCGTCAGGGATGCAACTTGATTTTCAAGCATTTCTCGACAGTTTCTAGGACACGGTGTGCAAGCCATGTCCCGAACGTGGCAGAGACACAACCTGATGTTCAGGCATTTTTGGGACACGATGTACAGGCCATGTCCAGGACATGACAGGGATGTAGGATGATTTTTAGACCCCTCTGGGCATGATGTGTAGGCCATGTCCGGGACATGTAAGCAAATTTTCAACCAAACGAAGGAAGCACGGTGTACAGGCCATGTCAGGGGCACAAGCATGTTCCCAAGCATTCTGGGCAGTTTCTGGGACACGGTGTGTAGGCCATATCTGGGATGCAACTTGGCCGCAACTGGGGCGGAGCCTGATATTCAGGCATTTCTAGGTAGATTTTAGGTTACGGTGTGTAGGCTATGTATAGGACACGTTCGAACACGGCAGGGATGGAGCTTGATTTTCAGGCATTTAAGGATAGTCTTTGGGCACGATGTGCAGCAATGACCGGGATGCATCCTGATCATGGTAGGAATGCAACTTGATTTCCAAACATCTTTAGGCAGTTTTTAGGACACTATGTGCAGGCAATGTCCAAGATACGGCAGGGACAGCCTGATTTTCATTTATTTCATGCATTTCTAGGTAGTTTCTAGGAAGTGGTGTGAAACCATGTTCGGGACGTGTCTGGGCCGTGGTAGGGATGTAGCCTAACTTCTAGGCATTTCTAAGCAGTTTTTGGGACACGGTGTGCAGGCCAATTTCCAAGACGTTGTAGGGACGCAACCTGATTTTCAAGCATTTCTAGGCAGTTTCTGGGCATGATGTACAGGCCATGTCCGGGACGCGTCCTGGCCAGGTAGGGATGTAGCCTGATTTTCAGGCATCTCTAGGCAGTTTGTGGGCACAGTCTGCAGGCCAAGTCCATGATGCATCCTGGCCGCGATAGAGATGCAGCCTAATTTTTAGGCATTTCTATGCAATTTTTAGGACTCGGTGTGTAGGCCAAGTTTGGGACTTGTCATAAACACGGTAGGGACACAGCCTGATTTCCAGGCAATTTCTATGTCATAGGGTTTTGGGTTTTTTTAATTGATTTAGAATTAAAACCAGGAAATATATATGTGACAAAGAATAATGAAAATAAAATGTAGCTCAATGTTACAACCTATGAATAATAAAACTAGTCTACACAATAAAACCAAACTTCCCACCGTCGCAGTGCAACAAATAAACCCCTCTGCTGCCTTCAGATCAGTGCCGTCGTTAGTCAAGGCTGGCGTAGGTGCATGGTAGTGGTGATGGTGATGATGAAGAGAAGGTGCCCGTGCTGTAGATTGGTGGCCGGACCGATGTTTATCGAACAGAACCATAACCTCTAGCCTTTGACCCTTCTGACAATGTTCTTTAGCTCCACTGATGAAAAAAAATGGACCTAGTTTTTCTAGTGAAATTGTAGTTTCTCCATCATGGTGTTATTTTATTAGATTGGCGTTGTTGCCAATTTTTTAGTCTTTCTTGGTCATTTCCAGCACTAAATCAGTCTTGAAATCATACTTCAGAACTAAAGAATCTCCAATCTGAAAATGAGTTTTCTCAGCCCATTTGTTGAACTCGTCAACAGAAGATGGAACTGCCCATAAATTATTTTCACCGCCTACTACAACTCTCTTGCTTCAAAAAGAACACACAACAAAAACACGACAATTGAAAATAAGAAAATATTTTTGAGTGTAGCCATTTTAAGCGAAAAACCAAAAGATTTTTAAATAAAATTTGAGCAATTTTGTAGACAATAGAGTAGAAAGGATTAGGGTTTCGGGTTTCGAGTTTAGGGTCCAGGGTTCAGGGTCCCAGGTTTAGGGTTCAGGGTTCAGCGTCCAAGGTTCAGGGTTTACGGTCCAGGGTTCAGGTTTATGGGCTCAGGGCTTAGGGCTTATGGTTTAGGGTTTAGGGTTTAGGGTTTCTGGTAAACGGTGTGCAGCACATGTCCAGGATGTAGGCTTATTTTTAGGCATTCCTAGGCAGTGTCTGGGGCACAATGTGCAGGCCAAGTCCGGGACCCGTCCTGGTTGTGGTAGGGACGCAACCTAATTTTCAGGCATTTCTAGGCAGTTTGTGGGCACAGTGTGCATGTGTAACGGCCCAATTTTTTTTGGTTAAACATAAACACGGGAACGTTACGAAAACTCATTTTTCTTTAATTAAAAAAAATGCGGAACTATATAAAATTCTTCAATAAACAAATAATTGTAACGTTTAAATTAAAATTATTGAAAGCGTATCTAACCATAAACATAAACTCCTAAGTAATTCAAATAATGCGTTCTAAATTAAAATAAACAAATTGCTAAATTTAAAATGGCAAACTTATTTCTTTTTCTCTATTCTTTATCCACTTGGCAGTCCGCATCACCAATTCTCCACTGTTCCAATCGACCCGAACTAATCTGAAAATTAATGTAAGAGTGAGTATTAAAAATACCCAGTAAGATACGTGCAAATTTCCATACACAGGTATATAACAAATAAATAATACAATTCATACCGCTCTTCTCTTATGGAGTATATCGGTGACCAAGCGACACACCCATTTTAGGTCCTCTTAATTTCCATGAAGAAATTTCATATCTCTTTCTCTAGAACCCGAAGGTCCACTAGCATTCCATGCATATTTAATCGCATATAAGAGCATAAGGA